TGCTATTTTCAGGGTCGGCGCCTAAATTTCCATGAATGGCAATAGGAGAACTGACATCGACTGGATCTATGACCGGTGGTCCATCGGGGTTGACTGGAGGTACTTCGTTTCTCAGGGCGACTACGTTCTCATTCTCGCCATGAATACCAAGGCCGGTGTCTGTGTGAGTGGGTGCTGCTTGAGAGTTTGACATGTTGATTCCTGAAATCAAAGACACTTACGAGAACAAGCGTAAGGCAGTGTGTGTTATGAGGATTAATACTAGGCAACCATTATTATCCTTACCCCATGGTGGGCGCCAAACTATTTAGTCTAAAAATTGGATAATAATTAAATTTATAATGTGGTTTTAAGGACACGTGATTTTACCTAATACCAATTGATAAATGTAGAAATTAGCAGTAATGATTAACAATGAGATAAGCAAACCAGTCTTGAAACGTAATTCATCCCTCCAGCTTAGGTGCCCTCGAACTAATCAGTGCCCAAAATAGTTATGAATCAAACTGATGAACAAGAATATAAGCTAGAAAGTATTGTATTCCTTTTATATGCGTGAATGTAAGATGGTTACAAGATGATTAGGACCCTCTTTATATAGTAGAGGAATCCTATTTATGGTAATTACGGAAGTAAATCCCATGATTAATTAAATAACTGCCCTTGGTTTTCCAAGATTTACGCCATGATCTTCGTCCAGTCACGGATATCTATCCTTTCCGCTATTGTGCTTTGCTCGATGTCTGCCTCTTTTGGTCGCGATCGATACCAGCCTCGATCATCGATAAGTTCCTCGATCCTCGAACTCGGTGTCTTATCGATTTCTTGTGCAAAAACATTTTGTAACCATCTTGTGCAAAAACATTTTGATTTCTTGTGCAAAAACATTCTGATTTCTTGTGCAAAAACTACATTTTGAGTTGTTTGGAAGATAGCTTGTACAATGTCTATAGTGTCATGGAAACTTCAAAAGTGTTATGGAATGCGCTTGAGAAAAAGTACAACACTGAAGATGCCGGACTAAAGAAGTTCGTGGCTGCAAGGTTTTTGGATTTCAAGATGATTGACACTAGGTCGGTCATAACTCAAGTCCAAGAATTACAAGTCATTGTGCATGACCTCCTTGCTGAAGGTATGACCCGAATCAATAATTTTATTAATAAGATTTATCTTGTTATTAATTATGAATTTATTATTGAATGTATGGTCATAAATATGGCCTTTCAAGTCGCCGCTTTCATTGAGAAGTTACCTCCGTTGTGGAAGGACTTTAAGAACTATCTAAAACACAAGCGGAAGGAGATGACATTTGAATAATTTTATTAAGAAGACAACAAAAATGCTGAAAAGAAGTCACGTGGAAACTCGACAATAATAAGGGCTAACATTATTGAGGAGGCGCCACAAAATAAGAAGAGAAAGAAGGCTTCTGGACCAAAGAATTACCCAAGAAAGAAAAAGTTCAAGGGTAATTGCCACAACTGTGGAAAATCTGGGCATGAGGCTGTGGATTGTCGTGCACCAAAAATGATAAGAAGAAGAAGAATCAAGCTAACATGGTTGAAAATGCTCAAGAAATGGAGGACTTGTGTGCCATGTTGTCTGAATGCAACTTGGTAAGAAATCCTAAAGAATGGTTTTCAAATCCATCAAATGGATGTAAAAACAGCCTTCTTAAATGGTGATCTAGATTTACATGAACCAACCTGAAGGGTTTGTGGTTCCGGGAAAAGAAAAGAAGGTGTGTCGACTTGTTAAGTCTCTTTATGGATTAAAAAAAGCACCCAAGCAATGGCATGCGAAATTTGACCAAACAATGTTGTCAAATGACTTTTAGATTAATGAATGTGATAAATGTGTTTACATTAAGAACGTTCCAAATCATATAGTCATTGTTTGCTTATATGTTGATGATATGCTAATAATGAGCAAAGACATTGCCGACATTCAAGCTACTAAGCATATGCTTGCTAGTCAGTTTGATATGAAAGACTTAGGAGTTGCCGATGTAATTCTAGGAATTAAAATTCATAGGACTCCTCAGGGTCTAGCTTTGTCTCAATCACATTACGTGAAAATGGTACTTGAAAAATTCAAACACTTGGAATTAGAAGTGCAAGAACTCTAATTGACTTAAACCATCATCTTATAAAGAATAAAGGTGAAAGCACGTCTCAATTGCAGTATGCTCGTGTGTTGGGAAGCTTAATGTACATCATGAACTGTACACGACCTGATATATCTTGTGCAATAAGTAAACTTAGTCGATTCACAAGTAATCCCAATAAACATCACTGGGTGGCAATGAAACGAGTTCTGGGATATTTGGAATATACCCAAGACTACGCTTTGCACTACAATAAATATCCTGCGGTTATCGAAGGATATAGTGATGCAAATTGGATAACCGGCTCAACAGAAACAAAGTCCACAAGTGGATATGTTTTTACTGTTGGTGGAGGAGCAGTATCTTGGAAGTCTTCCAAATAGACGTGCATCGCTCGCTCTACAATGGAATCAGAGTTTATAGCTTTGGATAAAGCCGGTGAAGAAGCTGAATGGCTTCGAAATTTCTTAGAAGACATTCCGTTCTGGCCAAAACCTTTGGCTCCTATATGCATACATTGAGATAGTGAGGCTGCAATAGGACGGGCAAGGAGCGTTATGTATAACGGAAAATCTCGTCATATACGACGAAGACATAACACCGTTAGGCAACTACTTTCTAGTGGAATTATCACTATTGATTATGTAAGATCAAAGGATAATGTGGCGGATCCGCTTACAAAAGGCTTAACTAGAGAGGGAGTTGAGAAATCATCTAAGGGAATGGGACTATGGCCGAGGACAAGTCAACATGGCGGTAACTCTACCTAGAATTTTTGATATTCCGAGATCTAGGTTCAAGGAGCTCAAACAAAGTTGTGATTAACCGGTTCAACATTGTCAAAGTAAAATCTTTAGTCCCTTCTCGTGATGAAGACAATGTTCAGTAACAAGGATAGAACTTTACACGTTCTTTAATGATTACCTAAGTTAGATGTGGTATTTATCAAATAGTGTCAGTCTAAAGGATTACACGTTTAGGAACCACCTATGTAAGTATGAAGTGGAAGTCGCTTCAATGAGAATTCTGTAAGGCTAATTCTCTGCGCACTTATGAAACCATGCGGTGTTCATGGCTGAAACGAACACAACAATGAGAACCAAAAGACGGTCAAGGATTGGTTGTGTGACATATGGTTGTCTAGGTATACACTAAAGTTCGACGGTTCAAAGATATCAAATCTACCGATTGACCGAGTATATCCAACATATGCTCACTACGGAAAGTTCAAAGGGAAACCTATTTATCCAGATGCAATTAATCCTTACTTGCAAATCACACTGCTTTCATCTAAGTTCATTCTTGTTACAGTCATTCCCATTCATGTGGGGGATTGTTGGACTTTAAGCCATAGGGCTAAGTCATTGGGCTTTAAAGACTAGAAGTGTGAATTGGGAATTGGTGGGAAATAAAATGGAGGGAAATAAAAATTTGGAAAATTTGAATCAAGTGAGCTTTATTAAATGAAATTTGTCCCTCATTGGTGAGGGACAACTACATTTGTGTATATATATATAGGATCGCTTCTTAGAGCTCTTAAAAGGAGTTGAAGAGAATGAACCCTCGTGCCGTCTTCATCGCTCGCTCGGCTTCGGCTTTGGATTTGGATTTGGATTTGGATTTGAATTTGTCAAATGATCGATCGATAAGATTACTTTTTGGACAAAATTTATTTAATTAATTATTTAATAATTAATTAAATGCCAGTCATTTCATTAACGGAATTAAGCCTTTGCTGAACGTTGCTTAACGGAATTAAGCCAAGCCTTTGCTGAACGTTGCTTAACGAAATTTTCCCTCCAAACAGACACTTTTTCCTGAACAGACATCACACCTCTTCCGATAATTGCCTATAAATTCTGAGGCATGGCTTCTTTTTCTATTCACTGAAAAATTACAGAACTTCTTTCCTTCTGAAAAATCCTGCATTCTCTTTCGCAGAATCTCTTTTAAATTCGTAAGTGTGATTTTGCTCCGTTCTTTGAGTTCGTTGGTATCCTGCAGTTTGTATTGCCACTGTTGAAGGAAGGTTTATTCCGTTTCATCCTGGAAGGATTTAATCCATTACCTTGGCAACGTGTGAGGGGGTTAAAATTCCTTAAGGACGCACAAGCAAATTGTGGACTCGGAATATTTCTTATAGTTTACAGTTGTTCCAGTTTTTTCTTCTAACAGTCTTTCTTATTTTGTGTTTTAACACAGAAGCATTAACAGTAAGTGGTTAAGACGTGAAAAGCTTGGAAAATTCGGTCAGAGCCAAAGTTATGGGTTCGATGAACCCATAAGTAGTACACTAGCCCTGATATAGAAGGGCTCCTCTTATTTACACTTTTAATAGTAACGTATAATCTCACATTCACCTATGTTCAATACAGTCGGCTTGCAAACAAATTAGCCTTGTCATATCTGATCCTCATGCTTGGGAGCTGCCATTTTTCATATGATGAGTGTGTATTATCTATCTAAAAAACAAGTTAAGTAGTGATCTGATACAACATGCTAATATACATTGATTGTATTTTTTTATTTTATTTTATAATTATCAGTGTATATAATTTAAATTCCAACTTTATAAGTGGCTAGATTGTGACATTTTTAATATCGTTAGTGAGTACAATTAAACTCTAGTTATATGTATCATTGAAGCAACATACATAATGCTCTAAAAATCAACTTAGTATAAATAGGAAAGCATACAACAAATGAAGTAGTATTGAATAAAAATGTTAGATAGATACACATGAAACGTTGAATATACATACAATTGTCCGTTAACATACAATATGATGTCAATGACGAATATACATACAATTGTCCGTGTTATTTAGATGTAGAAAAAGTAGCTAGCAACGTTGTATAATCCGTATAGGAAAACCAGTTCTCATCTTTGATGTCAATGACGAATTACAGATAGGACTAAAGGAATGATCTGAAACCTCTTTAGAATAGTAGCTGCCACCAGCTTTATCTGCATGAAAGCAAATTCTTTTCCAAGACAAGTCCTTGGCCCTGCTTGAAACACCTGATATGTGAAAGGGTCCCTTGGGATAAAATTCCAATTTCCTGTACTAGGGTTTTTCACCAACCAGCGCTCTGGCCGAAAACTTTCACAATCCGAACCCCATAATTCTGTTGATCTCCCCATTGCAAGAACATGTACAAAAATGCTCATTCCCTTTTTCAACTTTGTTCCATCCGGCCAAACATCATCTTCGGTCACTTGCTTCAATTCAAGAGGGACTGGTGGGTATAGTCTCATGCTTTCACAAATCGAAGCATGTGTGTATACCATTTCATTCAAATCATCATCTTTCTCTTCGATTTCTTTGACAATCTCCTTTTCTACTTGTGGGTGACTCGGGACTAGCCAAAAGAACCATATTAAAGCTGAAAACAGCGTGTCATCACCAGCCAGGATGAAATTAATACATGTATCCATGAAAAACTTCTCGTCGACTATTACATTGTATTTGAGAGCCATTGTTATAAATCTGTAAAAAAAATCGCCTCCCTCTTCTATGGAAGAGTTTTGTATCGAAAACTTCTCCACCTTTCCCGCGATTTTCTTCTTTACATATTCTCTGAGTACATCAACTGCATACCTACAAAGGCCGATTCAGAACATATATAAATGTACGTATGAGAAAAAGAATTACTTGACTTCCAATAAGTATTGAGTAGTAAAATTTAATTTGAAGTGCGTGCAGTGAATATTTAAGGAAACCTGAGATTCTCTTCAGATCCAATGCTTAAATCTTTCAAAGACTTGTATCAATGAGCATAGAATAATTCTCCAAGGTTGTCCTATTTATAGATCATGAGTGGTGCTTTCTCTTAAAGCCAAAACCCACTCAAAATAGGAATAAACCGAATCCAATTCCAAATAGGATTGGAAACCAAAAGAGAATAGGATTAGGCCATTGGGCCTTTGGCTGGACAACATGGGCATGTGCCCAACAAACTCCCCCTCCAGCCAAGGGGCCAAATGTGTCTTCAAGTAGAGGAACTATTGACAGGCTTCATGTCTGCCAATTTGCTGCAAAATTCATGTTTATCTGCAAGCTTAACTACGAAGTCCTCAGGCTGCTCCATATAAATCTCCTCATTTAAATCACCATGAAGAAAAGCAGTCTTGACATCCATCTGCTCAACCTCTAAATCTAGACTTGCGGCTAAGCATAGAACCACACGAATAGAAGACATCTTCACAACAGGGGAGAAAATTCCATCAAAGTCAACTCCCTTCTTCTAGCCAAAACCTTTAACAACTAACCTCGCCTTGTATCTAGCGCAGAGGTATGGTTATCTTGCTTTATTCTGAATATCCATTTGTTAGATAAAGCTCTCTTACCTTTCGGCAATTTCACTAACTCATATGTGCCATTCTCATGGAGTGACTTCATCTCATCTTTCATCGCTTCGATCCAATGATCTTTGTGATTATCTTGCATGGCTTCATCATAATTCTCAGGTTCTTCCATGTCAGTCAAAAGTACATACTCATCAGGAGGATAGCGCATGGATTTTCGCTTCTCCCTTGTAGATCTTCTAAGAGAGCTTTCAGGAGCATTCGTAGTAGTTACCTATGCAGGAATTGGTTGCTGATCAACCACAACTTCATCAACTGGAGCATCCATAACATCTACACCATGATGATCATTTTGATCTTGATCACTATCTCCATCATTGTCTTGGGTTCCTTCATGTGCAATAGGTGCCTTAGCAATTGAAACTGGATCAATATCAACTAAGCTCTCATTACTCTGAGAATCTATCTTCTCAGTTTTGTCAATATCTTCAATAGTTTGGTCTTCAAAGAATATTGCATCACGACTTATAATAAGTTTATTATCAATTGGATCATAAAAACGATACCCAAACTCATCTTGACCATAACCGATAAAGATGCACTGCTTAGTTTTGACATCCAGTTTCGATTTCTCATCTTTAGGAATATGCACACAAGATTTACACCCAAAAACTCTCAGGTGATCATAAGAAACATCTTTGGTAAACCAAACTCTGTCTGGGACATCACCATCCAAAGCAACAACATGAGACAAATTGATAACATAGGCAACAGTGTTAAGTGCTTCCGCCCAAAATGTATTTGGAAGTTTAGCCTCTGAAAGTAACCATCTAACTCTCTCAACTAGAGTTCTATTCATCCTCTCTGCCAAACCGTTCAATTGAGGCGTCTTGGGCGGAGTTTTCTGATGACGAATTCCTTGTTCCTTGCAATAGTTATCAAAGGGACCACAATATTCACCACCATTGTCAGTGCGAATACATTTTAATTTCTTCCCCGTCTGTCTCTCAGCTAAGGCCTGAAATTCCTTAAACACGCCAAGTGCTTGATCTTTAGATTTCAAAGGATACACCCAGAGCTTACGAGAATGATCATCAATGAAGGTCACAAAGTAAAGTGCACCACCTTTTGACTTTACTTTAAAAGGACCACACAAATCAGAGTGTACTAGCTCTAATAAATTGGGCTTTCTTGAGGGAGGATGGCTATGAAAGGAAACCCTTTTCTGTTTGCCAGCTAAACAATGTATGCACCTTTGCAGCTTTGCTTGTTTTACTCCAGAAAGCAAACTTTTCTTAGCCAAACACGTAATCCCTCTCTCACTCATATGACTCAATCTTCGATGCCACAATTCTGACAAACTATCACTTTACACCAGATTTATTGAGTCATTAAGAATAGAGCCTTGTGTCACATATAATTGACCAGACTTGACTCCTCGAGTCACTACTAACGAGCCCTTGGTGAGATTCCATTGGCCGTTAAAGAGAGCATTATGGTAACCTTCATCGTCTAGTCTTCCTGCGGAGATCAAATTGAAAGGAAAGTCTGGAGCATGCTTGACATCTTGAAGAACTAACGTTGAACCATTATTAGTTTTCAAACAAACTGTGCCAACACCAAACACCTTAACTTCACTGGCATTGCCCATCTTTAATACTCCAGAATCAACATGAGTATAAGATGAGAAAAAATCTTTTCTTGGTGTGACATGTGAGGTAGCTCCAGAATCTACTATCCAGCTCGTCTCATGGGATACCAAATTGATGATGTTTTCATCATAAGCAAAAAGAAGGTCATCTTGAACAATAGCAGCAACATTGTTCTCGTTATTTTCAACTTTCTTTCCTTCTCTAGTGTCTTGATTCAACTTGTGGCAAAACCTTTTGATGTGTCCTTTCTTGCCACAGTGGTTGCATGTAACATTATAGTATTTGGACCTTGACTTACTTCTACTTTTACCTCTATTCCTTGAGCCTCTTGTTCTATCTCTCCCCCGGTCTTCTGTAACCAAGATATCTGCTTGTGAGGATGAACCCTGCGATTTTCTCCTTACTTCCTCGTTCAACACACCACTCTTGGCATATTCCATGGTCACCTTACCTCCAGGAGCTGAATTTGTCAAAGAAACACGAAGAGTTTCCCAAGAGTCTGGCAGAGTATTAAGAAGCCAAAGTCCTTGTATCTCATCATCAAAATTAACCCCCATTCCAGATAGCTGATCAAGGACGCCCTAAAAATCATTTATGTGATCAAGGATAGGGCTGCCTTCCTTGTATTTAAAGGTCATCAATTGCTTTAGCATAAACAATTTGTTGTTCCCGGTTTTTGAAGCATAAAGAGTCTCTAACTTTTCCCACAATGATCTCGCATGTATCTCGTTCACAATATGGTTGCGAACATTATCTTCAACCCATTGCCGTATATATCCACATACTAGTTGGTGCTCGAAATCCCAATCTTCATCGGATATACTCTCGGGTTTATGAGCTGAAAAAACGGGTAGATGCATCTTCTTCACGAACAACAAGTCTTTCATCTTGCTTCTCCAAACATTATAATTTCTCCCAATTAAACATACCATCTTGCTCATATTCGCCTCCATTCCGTAATAACCCGGATAAATAACCAAAACTATGATACCACTGTTATGTCGAGGAAGAGGTAAATCCGAAAATAAAGAAGATAAAGAACACCAAATTTTAACGTGGTTCGGTCAACTCACCTACGTCCACAACGAAGATGAGCAATCCACTATAATAAAAAGAGAGTACAAAATATCGAGAGAACAACCTCACGAAGAGGCAAACACAAGTGACACACTAACACTTGTCCCGTAAAGTTCTCCCCCTAAACAAGACTCTCAAGCCCCCTATGGCTACATTGTGGATGCTTCTGAATGAGAGGACGGATCTTCAATTTATAGAACTCCAAACCTTTTCCTACAAGAAAAGGGACTAGCCAAATATGGAAGAATTTATAATTTCCTTTTACAAAAAGGAAAACCTAATTAAGGTAATTATATTGCCCTTTTCCTTCAAGAGATAGGAAAACCAAATATAGTAAGAAAATTATGGCAAACACCTAACAATTCTCCCCCTTGGCCTGAATTTTCTAACAAAATAAACTCGATCCACCTTCTTCACATAGCCTTCAACAGGTCGCATCTCCAAATCTCCGCCACAAAGTTTGTCTCAACGCGCGTAGCACACCGGTCAAATTTCTCAAACAAAAATCACGATTATCGTCAAATATGTCGCAGCTAGAATTGAACCCGCCAAGATGAACCTGTCTTGAACCTCGCTCTGATACCACTTGTTAGGATCGAAAAAATCAAGTGTCATGCGGAAGCTAGTAGCGCAACCCTGAACGACGATAAATCCAACAACAAAAGAGAAATACCAAAAGAGACACAAACATTTAACGTGGTTCGGTCAACTGACCTACGTCCACAACGGAGATGAGCAATCCACTATAATAAAAAGAGAGTACAAAATATCGAGAGAACAACCTCACGAAGAGGCAAACACAAGTGACACATTAACACTTGTCCCGTAAAGTTCTCCCCCTAAACAAGACTCTCAAGCCCCCTATGGCTACATTGTGGATGCTTCTGAATGAGAGGACGGATCTTCAATTTATAGAACTCCAAACCTTTTCCTACAAGAAAAGGGACTAGCCAAATATGGAAGAATTTATAATTTCCTTTTACAAAAAGGAAAACCTAATTAAGGTAATTATATTGCCCTTTTCCTTCAAGAGATAGGAAAACCAAATATAGTAAGAAAATTATGGCAAACACCTAACAATGTAAGCCGATGAAATATGTCCTGGAGGTCTAGAGTAGTTTTATTTATGTCTGCAATAAAGAATAAAGGAATAAGACGGCCAGGGAGCTCTTTAATGGTGGATGATTTTACTCGATAACGAAATGTATCAGCATGAAATATATGACTGAGGAAATGTCTTTGGGTTTTCCATTTCTCGCCATCTACAAGTAAAAGTCCATCCCCTAATAAGTCTGAGAAAACAAATCGCATGGTAGGATCTTTGCGATAAATGTGAAAACGTGTCTTAACGATATGCTTGATAATAGAGGGGTTTCTTGTCAAGATGCATTTTTTACCAAAGGGTCCTTTAAGGGTAATGGTTGATAAAGATGATTTTTGGAA